CATATATATATATATATATATTATTTTGAGTCAAAACGAGCGGAACACAAATGAACAAATTCGTGTTTGACTTATTTATATATCGAGCACAAAAAAATTATTCGTGTTCAGCTAGTTAACTTAGCAAATGAATTGAGCACGAACTTTTTAACGAGCCGAACACGAATTATTAGCAAAAAGGTGCCGTTTTGACAATCCTATTGAAACCCCAAAAACACAATTTTGGGGATCACTTAAAAGTACAGCGCGGCACCATTTCTCTACCGCACTAATGCACCAAAGGCAGCCTTAATGTCCATCTAAATTGCAATGCTTGCATAGAGTTTTCTCCAATAGACCATAAATCAAAATAAAATCAAGTATTTTTCCAAGTTTATCTCATTCTGTGCATGAGTTTGTGTATGTTTGTAAAGAATAATTTTTCCACAATAAAAAAATAATTTTTTATATGATTAATTAATAATTTTAATTGATTATAAATCTTTATAAGCCTGTAGCCAAATATTATTTATGTTCGGCTCATTAACTTAGTGAATGAATCGAACACGAATTTTTTTAGTAGTCGAACTCGAATTGTTTAATTATATATATTTTTTTATTTTTGACAAGGTGATGACATCAGCACATGAAAAGATATTCTAACAATAAATAAATAAAAGAGGAAAAATAAATATGATTGACAGAAATAATATCAGAGAATATAAAAATTAATTGTGCTACCTCACAATATCACATACTTATGTATTTATGTGAGCTATTAAGTACTGTCAACTTGCAAATATAAAATATATAATGAAATAAACATATCTGGAAGGACAAATTTAGAAATATTATTACATGCATTTTCTTTTTCCTTTTTTTTAAAAAAAGCCATTCTCATATAGACCGCATTATATTTATATATTTACATAGCCGAACTTTAAACTCTTATATTCATATTTATCTATACAACATTTAAATTTCAGGCAGTTCTAACACTAATTTTCATCCATTTTTCAAATTCACACTCAAATACCAAAATCTATGATAAAAGCCCAACTCATTTTTTTCATTTCTATTGAATTCTCAATTATTTGAATGTGGCACATGTGTATATATCAGTTCAAAATTTTCACATGAACCATAGATCTTGTAAATAGCAAATGTAATTATCCCTTAAATTTTTAACACTCAGAGTCTCGATTGCTAAATCAATCTTTTCTCTAATGATAATCAAACTCCATGAATTGCTTGTTTTTACATAGTTTCGTCTATTGACGTGGATAATGATAAATGGATGTTGGTGATTTGACTAGCGCTATCGAAGTACTGTTGCTTGTTCATCATCTTTGGATCATCACCTTTATCTATGCCATCAAAATATTATTGCCAACAAAGTATTGTTGTTTGTTCATCGCTTTATGGACATCATCACTCGATCACCACCTTTAGATCACCACCAACATTGGAAAACAATCATTGTCGATCCACTCATCCGACCATAATTGTCAAATCACCATCTTTGCTCGACTACAATCTCCCATCCACAATTACTTGACCAATGGTGTACGCTTATGAATGCCCAATCACCAATACTAGACTACAATCACCTAATTTTTAATGATTAAATACAATCACCTAGTCGCCGGTACTTGATTAAGATCACCCAATCATTGGTGTCTGACTAAGATCACAAGACCTCCATTGCCCACTAATGATTATCTGACCAACATCCTTTAATCTTGGTTTTCATTTCTTTCATTATTACCCAACTATGATCGTCTGAACACCATAGCCTAACAGGATCGCCCAACCATCATCACAAAACTACAATTACCTAGCCAACATTACCTGACTATTGTAAATAAACTATCGTAGCTCGACCAACGTCACCCAATCCCTATTGCTTGACCTCCACAGTCACGTGACCACGGTTGCCCCTCAATGATTGTCTAGCTATGGTCACCGATCTATAATTGCCCATGGATTGCTGCTCAATCATAATTGCAGAAATACAATATCCCAATTACTATCATTTGACTACAAGTGTTTGATCATGTGTCCGACTATAATTTTATGGTCTTTGTCGCTCTTCTATGACTTCCCTACTACAATCGCCAAACTATCTTCACCTATTTATAAACACTGGCCTCCATCACCAAACTACAGTCACCCATCTATCAATGTCCAACTACAATAAACTGATCATCTTTGCATGTCTATGGTTGCCTGACCACGATTGTCTGAATATGATAGAGTGACTATCACTATTACGATCACTTGATTATAATCACCCAACCATCATCACTAAACTACAGTCTTTCGACCATCATTGCTTGATCATCAGATCTTTATCACTCATTTACAATCAATTGACCATAGTCATCAGATTACACTCAACCAATTACAACCAACCATCATTAACCAACAATAATCTTTTGACCACTAACACGTCTTGATTTCATAATCTAACAGCGCTTACAATACCAAAGTTTGTCATTGATATCCATGTTGACATCCGTTTTCTTTGTCATTTGTTTCTGGCTACAGCATCAATATATATTGTTGAAGTATGCCATCACCCACTAGGTCAATATAAATATGGATCCATGCACCACATCAAAAACAATACTATCATCTACCAACTTTGTTGCTTACCTTTAACAATAATATTGAAGCAATTAATTAGATAATCCTAAACAAGATTATACTAGATAGATTGATCCATAAACTCCTATCCTCATAGGAGAGCAATCATCAAAATTTATAATATGACTCTTGAAGATAATTCTAATACCTCTAGGATTCTATAACTTCTATCATGTAATCCATTCTACATGGTTCACATCCATTATCTTATACCAACACACTCCTAATTATGAGGATTGACATCATTTGAAACTTATTATACGCATGTTAAATCATTTTAACGAGGCAAAATTTTGTGAATTTTTCTCTTATCAGATTTTTCACGTAAATTTTTTGTGTTTCTTACGAAACATTTTCTTTATATATGTGTGATGAATTTTCTTACAAAATTAAGACAATCTCTCACTATAGTGCCCCCAATTTTATTATATGCAGTAAACTTTTTTATGCTTTGAGTTGAATACTAAAGCAATTCATGTCTAAAAATACATTTTTTGAGTTATATTATTATGTCTATGGAACATTGTCTGAAAATTAGGAGTTTATCACATGTGATGATGATGTGATGTAAAAAAACCGAGAATTTTATTAAAAGAAGCAAAGCTGGTAGTGATTATAATACAATATGACAAATATAATGTTTAACATTTGTAAAGGGAGTCAATATGATAGTCATGAATAGGAGGTCAAAAAAATTTATTGCTTGCAAATAGCTCGTGTTCAGCTCGATAAGTATCTCGTGCTAGAAACTATTGTTAAGTAAACGAGTTGAACAAGAATAAAGTTTTAATCTTTAATCATAATTGAGCAGAATTTGAACAACTCTTTATGTGTGTGTGAGTGTGTGTGTGTGTGCGTGTGTGTGCGTGCGTGCTTAAATTATAATTGTGCCGCCTACTATGACTCTTTCGTTGGTAGAGTTTATAAGACCCCTGGGGTCACTGGCTCCGTCCCGCCTATGCGAAATGAAATTCATAGGCACATGAAGTTGGTCGGGAAACTCGTTTAATATGTAATTTTTTAAATTAATTTAAACAAGCCTATTTGGAAACGAGTTGAACAGGAACAAGAATATGTAAATAAAGTCGAAAACGAACACACTGTTCATGGGCAATTTTGTAAACGAATCACTTTCAAAAATGAGCCAATTTTGAATGAGTTGAACAGGAGTCAAGTCTGAGCTCGCTCAAGCTTAGCTTGTCTACAACCCTAGTCGTGCGTTGGAGTGCTTCTATTCAAATTCTAAAAGCATTCTAAAAGCAATGATAATAATAACATATTTCTTGATGATATGAGTGATAGGGTTCTTCTCTTATCAAATTGAAGATGCTAAGACTTTATTAGTTGAGTCATGTTTTCATAATTCTATGAATTTCAAATAAATCCTACGTAAAAAACCCTTTTTGAATAGTGTTTCAAAAAATATTAAAGCCCCTAATAGTATTCAAGTTATAACTATTCGTGCACACTAAAAACGTCCATGATAATTCAAGTATCACTATGCGCGCATGATGCACATTTGAAGTGGGAAAATCATATGCTACATATTTATATTTGATATCAATAGAGTCAGAAACAAACAACCTACATCGAGTTTAGTAGCTAACCAAATAAGAATATAATGAAAAATAATATTAAAGGCAATACATACACCACTTGTCAAATCGTATTCAGGTTAGGTTACACTTTAATATTAGTGTTGATTTTCTGACCCGTTCAAAATTTATAAATGTAGAGCATAGGATTTATATGAGACATTTATGAAGGAACACAAAAAATTACTACTACAATT